TTTCACATCAAGGTTTGCTAAATCAGCAAGTATTTTATTATAATCATTGAGGTGTTCGTGCATAGAGATACCTGGACGATACTGAAATCGGAAGAGTCGCTTCTTCAAGAAGAGACGATTTTCTGCGCTCTTGGTCATATACTTCTCCTCCAATTTTGTCCATAACTCCTTAGCAGAAGTTTCCTTCATATACGGGTATTTCAACTCCTTATCAAGGAACGATCGAATAGCAGCACAAGCATGAAGATTAATTCGCGTCCACTGCTTGTCATCAATATCTTCTGGTTTATCTTCCAGAACCATATCCAACTCTTGTTGATACAACACATCCATAACTTCACATTGCCACATACCAAAATTATTAGAGCCATTGAATTTATCAACCTCTAACCTTGTAGTAGTGGTTGGATGTCTATTGGATGAAGACGATGTTGACCCCTTCTTTACAGATTCATCTTTATCTCCAGCCATCTACTCAGCACTATTCACAAATACAGCACTGTTCACAGGTACAATACTGTTCACAGATACTGTAGCAATTCACTGTTCACGGAACTGTAGCGCCAACACTATTCATGGAACTGGGCTCTGGTACCACTTGTTGTGCGGAAGCGGCATTCAACTGTAAGTGAATAGTAAGACAGAACAGAATAAAACCAACACCAACAAGAACACCAAGATTTATACTGGTTCGGCAATGCCTACATCCAGTTTGGAGACGACGGAGTATTCACTATAATCAATGAGAACATACAATAGTGTTTATCACTCAATTTCCCAAAGACCCAAATAACCCCAAGCTCTCACACTTACAATAGGAAGAGAAAACCAAAAATACAAAGCAAGACAATTTGAGAAAATTCTTCTCTATGCCAAATGGCTTCTTGCTATTTTTCTCTCTTCCTTGTTCTTCTCTACTTCTCCATACTTATGGGTTGCACCTTGCTCTCCTTTTATAGCCAAAGAAAAGCTTCTCAAAGACATCAATGGCCAAAGGCCTAACATCAAGTCAAAAAGAGTTAGGCACAATTGCATGTAATTTTTGTTTCCCACATGTAGCATGCCAACCAACAATTTTTTACCACAAAAGTAGCCCAAAGATTTGGACTTTGACTACATGTTTGAGTCAATAATTAACATGAGGTTCTAGGCTTAAGATTTCTTATTAGGCTCTAGAACGTTAATGCAGTTCTAGATACTGACCATGCGATAATCATTATGCATTAAGAAGTTATTATCTTTCTAATATTTTTTTACAGTTCAATACCATGAAGTTGGTTCAACCATGACTCGACCGAAGTATAGCTTTTATGTTTTTAAGATTTGAATTTTGAACATTTTTTCTAAGCATAAGGTATCATGGAAAGGGTTGATGCACAGTTATCACTTGCTATAAGAACTAAGATCAAAGCATTTTCTTTACCCATACAAACTCATTGCCTGATTGATGCCCGGAGAGGATTATAGATTTTTAATTGAAATACACTCTATCATCTGCCATATAGGATTCAGTTGTTTGATGAGTTAATTATTTGTAACAGGAGATGTCTGGAGGAAGCAGATATAGCAATCCATCTACGGGAGGTCCCTCATACGGTGAGGGTTTAGGTTCTCCGGTTAGTGCTCATTGCCTCTCTTCTAACTAGTTTTTTAATTTTATGATTCCTTCATAACTGTAATTCTTCTAATTCTTTGCAGATTAGAGAAGAGCCTCCGCCATACTCGTCACCTGTCACGCAAAGATTTGAGTCATTTGAAAATCCCTTAGCTGGGGGAGGATCCCAGAGTTATGGTTCTCACGATGACGAACGCATTTCTTCTGGAAATCTTCAGCATGGAACGGCACTCTATGACTTCACTGCTGGTGGAGATGATGAGGTAAGTCAATATTCAGTCTGACCTTAAAGCATGGAGTTTCCCTTTCCTAACATGCAGCAGGTGTTCTGCTTGATAAACGATGCAGAAGTTGAAAAATTAACCATTGCCGTCTTTTACAAGGTGATTAATACGGGTTTTTTCTGGACTTGCAGTTAAGTTTAACAGCGGGAGAAGAGGTTGACATTGAGTATGAAGTGGATGGCTGGTTTTACGTAAGTTTACAGAGTGAATAGTACTAAATAACAACAAAAGGAAAACGAAAAAAATCTTGTTCGTGCTTTTAAGTACTCCAATATCTAGGAAGCAAGATGAATCAATTAGCGTAATGTACTTGGATAACCTCGATTTTGTCTCGTTAAAAGTAGAATTCGCCTAATATTTTTCATCTGGACCTCTTTTTCTCTAGTTGCTCTTCGAAGGGCCATTCTCTTACGTCCTCGCTAGTGAGGCAACATAGTGTATTCATATCAGTTGCTAATGTATGGCATTTTTACTCCTTACAGGTGAAGAAGAAACGCCCCGGCAGGGATGGAAAAATGGCGGGGCTGGTGCCCGTTCTCTATGTTAACCAGTCTTGAATTCCAGATTGTACGGCCATCTCCAAGCGAATGGGCTATTTTTGATCCTCTAATTCTTCGTTCTACACCATCTCGTCCGGCTATCTGGTTTCTTGAAGGCCCGAGCTGCTCCAATAATTGTTTTGAAGAGTGGGAACTCCCACTGCATTTTTGTTTCGATTGTTTTATATTTGTTTCCCTTCTTTCACGAATTCGAACATGGGACATTATTCAATACTGTGAAGACATGAGCTCAATTTTGTTAAATTTTCAGAGACTCAGGTAAGTTCTGTTAAATTTTCAGAGAAACAGACGGGTTTCGCTAATCTCATTGATACTGTCCTAACTCAATCATCCGTGCAATAGTTTAAAGTTAAAAGTTAGAAAGTCAATTTTGGAGTCAAATTTGACTTCAAATGTTATATCATTTCCACATCAAATAAGAATAAAATAATGGATTTGGCTATAATACTTACGTGTATTTAATACAATCCTTCAGATGTCAAATATAACGTTTGGAGGCAAATGCAGAGACATATGACTCTTGGAGCCAAATGCAGAATCAAATGACTTTGCACTTGATTCTGGAGTCATATACGACTCTAACTTTTCTAATGCATTGGAGAGAAATTGAGTAAAATTTGAGGTTAAAAGTAATTTTTCTAATGCATTTGGAGAGAAATTGAGTTAAATTTGAGGTTAAAGGTAGTGTTTGACTCCAACTATTTATGTGCATTGGAAATAACATCTTCAAATTCCTTTGTAGACTTCAAATTTTCTAAATTTGGAAACAAAATTACACATACGAGGAGTGCACAATAACGTTTTTGAAGTGTCAATAACATCTATCAAGTTATAGTGTCGTATTTCACTCCAAATGTGGAGATGCAAGTTACTAAATCTAATGGATACAGAGTCAAATTTGACTTTAGCTCTTAACTTGTATGCATTAGAGAGAGATTAAATGAACTTTGGGGTTAACAGTATCTTCTAAAGGTGGGAGTCTCACATTTAACCCTTGATGGCACTAATGAGAGATTGAGACAAATTCAGAATTAAGTTAACTTACAACTCTAAGCCTTGGTTTGGTTTAGCTTAACATTTTTAAGTGTTTGGTAAACACTTCAAATCAGTTTTTTTTCAAAGATTATGGGTGAAAAAAGTTGAAAACCTGAAGTTGAAAAAGCAGTTTAAAGAAAGGGCTTATTTCGGAAAAACACGGGTGAACGGTAATAGATAAATGAAAACTTCAATCTTCCAATCCTGCCCTCCTTTCTCGTTCGTGCTAGTGATTTTCGTTTCAAAATAACTTTTTATAAGAGGTTTTCATTTTAAAATAGTTATGGCAAGCAATTAGTAAAAAAGTGAGCTCCACAATGTCAAGTCCTGAGTGCAAGCAAACAACCATTCATGGACGAATTAAGAAAGATATATATCTGTTTGTGGAGTTATGCTTCTGATTTGTCTTAGGGTTTGTGGGGTTTATAGGGACCGTTTTCTGATTTCATCCCCTATCAATGCCTCCCCTTCTAAGTTTGATTAGTTTGTTTCTTGGTTGTGTTACAATATCATTTATTCTTGTTTTATTATATGTATATAAATATATATGTATATATACAAATCAATAGATGGTATCGATGGCAAAGAAAGGGGCGTCTTCATCAATATCATTTGTTCTTGTTTTTTGGGAGATATCCGTATATTCTTATATTTTAATTTTATATTTGAGTCTTTACACAGGAGGAGAAAACATTGGACTCAAATCTCAAATTTTGACTTTTACAATTGGGCATGTGCACTGGAGAGGACCTTACTATTTACTTTAAATGGTACTTGTCTTTGTACAACTCCACCCGTTGGGTCAGGGCAATGGCAAGGGTAATACTATTCACAATTTTTAAAAATTTATTTTATTTTTATGCTTTGTAAGTTTGTTCTTTGAAAATAAAATGATTGCCTAATTTCAATAAGATGTTGAGTATTTATAGAATAATAAAATGGTTGGGTGTTTATAGAATAATAAAATGTGGGGAATGTTTGGGTATTTATAAAAAAATCCTATTTTTCCTATGTTAGTGCTGGGTTAATCCTTGCACTTGATTTTCAAACTCATTTAAAATCAAGCGCACTGGAATGTGTTGTATGTCACAATGATAATTCTTTTATACCGTTGGAAATCCAACAGCCTGGGATGTGCCACGTCATAGAGCCATTGGGCTCTTCTGTTGCAACAGGGCTCACTGCTACAGTTTTTATCGGCTCACTCTCCCCTTTGAGTGAGCAATGCATGCGTCATGCACATAAAAAAAATTAAAAAACATGGCTGACGTCATGTTGACATCAGCCTTGCTAGCTAACACCATGTTGACGTTAGCCTTGCTAGCTGACGCAAGGTTGGGCCGGCATAAATGACGTCAGCCTTGCCAGTTGATGCCTTGCGCAGAGCCGGGCTTATCTTGCTCGGACTTTTGAATGAGCATTGCATGGCCCACTACTAGCCCAGCCCATAGACAAAAAAAAAAAAAAAAAAAAAAGGAGAAAAAGCCTCCAGCGCCGCTTCCTACTTCCCAGCACTCTCTGCTCGGCACCTCAATCACTTCACTCAACTCGACCAGGAAGGAGTGGGAGCGTCTTCTGCGTCCAGCTCTCCTTCCGTTATGCTCTCTCTCTTTCTCTCTCAACAATACCTAATACCTCTGTGTCTTGGCAATCGAATTCCGTTATGCTCAAGCAATTTTCGCTGTTGAGTTGCTTTTGAGTAATTTATATCTTTCCACTGCACTTGCTGTTTATATCTTGGTCTTGGAATAATATTGTGTGCGTATTGTGCTATGAGTATTGTGAATAATTGATTATTCAATCGAATGGGAAAGCAATTGATGAATGATAGTGTAGTATCACACGTTGAGAAACACAATTGGTATTTGACAATGTGGATTTATGCAATGGAATGAAAAACATTATCAATTTAGATTTTTATTCAGTGTGAGTACCGAGTGCAGTGGCATTATAAGATTCATACAGCCGACCTCATAAGGCTTTGTTGTTGTTGTTGTATTCAGTACGAGTTTAACACTTTTTAATGTTATTATTGCCTAAAAATGTATTTCCAGCTCTAGCTGGTGGACTTTTTTGTTTGCAGGACTTGTCATAACAGCCGATATTCGTTAGGTTCCTTATTATAAAATTTGTTGCCTATAGCTAAAAGTTTCCCCTCCACAGTTGTGAATACATTGGAGGGGAAGTGGTTTTATTGATGATTGCCGCTTTATTACCATTACCATTTTCTGAGTATCTTCACTGATGTGGGTTTTAAGGGGAACAAAGCTTCAAGATTGACATGTTTTAATCAGAGTCTTATAAAATATTTGGTTTTCTACTGATAAGAAATAGGAGTGTATGTTAACACATTGTATTTTGACAATTGCAGGCTTGGGTTTCTCTTGGGAAGTCATTATGTTTGATGTAAATGATGGTTTCTGGATTATCGACTAGGCTGTTGAACATATGCATAGCTTCGTTTTGTAAGTCCCGGCTACTGGAGAGAGCAGAAGCCGTTATAATTGATGGCATAAGATTAGGGGTGATTCCAGATGTGGTAACTTACAATACTTTGCTCAGTGCCTATTCTCGGTTTGTTAGCTTGGATGCAGCTTATTCTGTTGTTCATAGAATGAAAGAGGCTGGGATTAGTCCAGATGTCATTACATACAATTCTTTGTTATCCGGGGCCACCAGGAATTGCCTGTTATCACAATCCCTGGATCTGTTTGAGGAAATGTTACAAGCGGGCATACATCCTAATGTATGGAGTTACAATATTCTGATGCATTGTTTCTTTAAGTTAGGAAAACCTGATGAAGCCAACAGAGTATTTCAGGATATTTTACTTCACAATCTCACTCCCCACCCAGCTACGTTTAACATTATGCTTAATGGCCTTTGTAAAAATGAATACATCGATAATGCCCTAATGTTATTTAGGAATTTGCAACGTCATGGATTTGTTCCCCAATTAGTGACCTACAATATTCTTATCCACGGGCTATGCAAGGCACGCAGATTGGGGCAAGCAAGAAAAATGCTAAAGGAACTGGGGGAATCAGGTTATGAGCCAAATGCCATAACCTACACTACAGTTATGAAATGCTGCTTTAAGTTTAAGCAGTATGACGAAGCGCTAGAGATTATGTCAGAGATGAAGAGTAAAGGTTATACTTTTGATGGCTTTGCGAACTGCACGGTGTTGCTGCTTTAGTTAAGACTGGGAGAATAGAAGAGGCAAATGCTTGCATGGAACAGACAATGGGAAATGGCATTGAACTTGATTTAGCGGCTTATAACACTTTACTTAATATGTATTGTAGAGAAGGTAAGTTTGAAGCTGCCTATAAGCTGATGGATGAAATAGAGAATGGAGGTCTGTTGTGTGACAAGTATACCCACACAATTATAATTGATGGATTGTGCAAGGCTGGTAATATTATCGGGGCTGAACACCATTTACAATATATGAAAATGATTGGCTTCCGTGAAAACTTGGTTGCCCTCAACTGCATGATTGATGGCTTTTGTAAAGCTGGTCAAATCGATCGTGCAATGGACTTGTATAAATCGATGGAGACTAAAGATTCCTTTACCTACACCTCCTTGGTGCACAATCTTTGCAAGGTTGGAAGGTTCCGTTGTGCATCCAAGCTTATGATGAAATGTTTAAGAGATGGCAAGAAAATACTCAGGGCTACCCATCGAGCTATCCTTGATGGTCTTCGTAGTACAGGGTATACAGATGAAGCAAGACAGCTTCGGTGGAAAATTCAAGTGGCTCGAATATTACGTTAGAAACTGGCTATGCTTTTGCTGCTGAAAATTAGTTTCACCCTATTTGGATTGGCATTTTGGACAGCACCATTTAAAATCCCTCTTTTAGTCATATTCCGTAAACATCAGTTGTTTTGGGCTGGTAAGCTTGTTCTACCCAGCACTGATTATTAATAATGAAGAGTAATATTGAATCTGAATGTAAGGCGACTAACTACCCTGCCACTGCCTTGCATTGCTAATCTGACAGTGGTTCTGCTGGTGTGCATAACAGAAAGACACTACTTGTAGCAAACACACTACTTCCTTATTCATGTATGACTGGAAACATTTCTCAAATTCATCTGTCAGTCATGCTGGTTCTTCACTTGATGGACCCACTGTGAGTTTCTGTTTTTGTTCCCACTGATTTAATAGATCTTCTTTGACTTTTTAAATAAACTAATGCTCTTCAAAAGTTACTGAAAGAACACCTGTACTAATTTTTAATATTAATTTTAATTTTTTACTTCTTTTGGAAACAAATTATGAATCTGTGTTACTTTTGGCAGGGGAACTGGTTAGCATCATTGAGAGCAGTTTAGTTAGAACTCAGGACAACTACTAACTACTCCTGAGAGGTAAACTTGTGTAGTACAGCCTACTTTTCGTGTAAGTAACTTTTGACATCAAATTTTGATAATTTGGTTTCTTAGATACATTTAATGGTTGTACGACAGAGGAATAAGAGAGCTTTGATTCTCAGACAGAGAAAAAAGGATGGTTTACTATACATCCTAAAGTAAAGAATTGCAAACTCTTGCATGTTTTATAAAAGAACAATTCTGAGGGAACCCTTGATTCTCTTTCATATTTGTTGGTCTATTTCTTAACCTGTCACAGCAATGATGTTTTACAATTCTTCAAGGTCTGAGATATTATATCTTTAAATAATATTCTTTGTGAGCAAAATACTCCAAATTTTTACCATAAAAGGTTGATTGTTTACTTTTGTTTATGTATGTCTTCCTATATCTTTGCTCTCTACCTGACTATCATTTCACCTCCTTAAAATATGCTGATAAAGAAATGTTAGATCAATATTTGATTTAGTTCTTTTCATTTTAAAGGAGTTTTATGCTTGAGGGGCCTCATTTATTTTGTGCTTCTGTGTGTGCATGCTTATAACTTGGGTCAGAACTCAGAAGGAGATGCATTGACAAAAAAAATAGTTTTCAAGGAGCATGGGATAGAAACTAAGATGTATGATAATGTGCGTGGAGGTCTGGATTTTAAGCTCAGCAATTCAAATCACGTATGTCATTGTGCAGGTGTAGTGGTCTAAACCAAAGCAAGGTGACAGGGTAAGTAGAAGAAAAAAAAAAGAGACAGAAATATGAATTGCTGGTTTACTTCATATGACTGTATTTTATGTATTTAAAAATATCGCCTGTAGCTCCAAAGAGGAGGTTTACTCATTCGGCATAAAGGGTTTCTTTCCTTGATATCCTGGATGTTTTTAGGTGGTCTAGTTTACTGAAAGTAAATTCCCAAATTTTCAGTCTAGCGAATAAGAATATTATATAACTGCAAAAAACATCTGTCCTGGTCCTAAATAAAAATTCGTATATGACTGCACAAACAGCAATTCGAGAAAGGCTCATACTCAATCAGAATAAAGCTGTTCGAATTATTCGAACAATAAACAAAAATCATACAAAAATATAGGGGAAAGATTGAAATGTATCGGGAAGAGATAACAGAGCTGGTTGTATGAGCTGGGACAGCGAAACAAAAAACCAGCTGCTCAACTTCCTTGGACTGGAACAGAGAAGGAGAGAAGGATTGAGGTATGTAGGTGGGAGGCCGATTCATGTCTGCTGGAAGGAGAAATAGGATATCGAAGAGGTTGATGTGGGATTAGGCTTCTCTATTGGGTGGGAGGAGGAGAAGAAGATGGTGAGGGCTTAAGTGAATACACACAATGGCGGCAGTTTTTGTTTAAAAGAAAAAAACATTATCTAACAGATGACACAAATCCTTACATTAAAAGTAAGCAATCACCAATGACCAAAAGGTGCCATTGCCTCTTAAGACTTTTGAAAGCAAAGGTAGGTTTACTGGTCGTCTTTCTTCTGGGGCTTTCGATGTTTCTCCCATTCTTGGCACCACTGCATCATGGTTTGTATCTTGCGCCGCCACATCTTGGAATATGCGTTCCTTGCTAAGCAATCATATGCCAGGGGAATATTCGGCCTTGCCCCAAAGTGCAACTAGACGACTTTGAAAACACTGATGAACATGGTATAATTCTTGCCTCATTGTCTTTCCTTATTTCTTTGTAACATGTTCATTGATTTATCATGTACCACTGTTGTGAAGAATGACGAAGGTGGTAACTCTGTATCCACTGTGCTTCTCGAGGGTATAGTGACAGTATATTGGATGATATTGAAGGAGCAGTGGATGACAGAGTGAAGACGGACAAGGTAATTGACAAGGAACATTCAGAATTTTATATTGCTAGGCTTGTTTTGTTTCACCTCTGCAATAAATGCTAGTGTATGTATAACTTTAAAAAAACTTGGGTGTCTGAACCATTGAATTTATATCTTCGCTATCATGATCTCTTTCATTTCAGGCAACAACTGCTAGTGTATGTATACTGTTCTTGGAGCTGCAGCTACTGAATTGAGTGAGCTAGGAGAGTAAAGGAGTTCTATTTTACAGAAACGGGGAACATTGTCATTTTCAGGCAATGTGCATTGGATGGCCGTGTTTCATATTCAGGTAATGTGCACAGACGTCGTATTTTGTTCACTTTCAGTGATTTCATATGCAATATGCCTGTTTAGTTAAAAAAAAAATGCAATATTCCTGTCGAGGCTTGGGTTGGCCGTGAGTGAAATAATGAACTAAAGAATCAATGATGTTGCAGATTGGACCAGTATACTGTAGCAAAATTTGCCAAAGGCTTTGACACGATGCCTAAATTTCTTGAGAAAAATGCTGGGCTTAATGCAACGGAGATCATATCTTCTATATGTGCTGAACATGCATCAGGAAATACCAAAGTTTGCCTTGACCAAGTAAGCTGTTCCTTGTCTTGTAACAGTTCATGCTTTTGTATGAGAGTTTCCATTGCATTGTATGCTGTTACAGCTGTGATGCTTTGATGTGATATTGGTTCTGAAGATTATTTTTTGTGCATTAAATTTTGGTCTAGGATTTGTCTGTATGTTGTCACGCTGTGGTGTGTGCTTGCTGGTAAATGATTCTTGAAGTGTCGGTGGTAATTTGTTGGAGCGCTAAAGCCTTCTTTTTCACCAAACGGGTGTCTGTTTTGGGAGTTTGTTTTGTGTATTGTGCTGCTTCGTTTTGCTCAGTGCTGCCTTTTTTTGTTTTTAATTTTTGTGGGTTAGATTTTTGCTTCTTCTCAGTTCATACAATCACAAGATTGTGATAAGTATTTATGAATCAAGTTTACAATCTCTTGCCAACGGGAGTTGTTTATATTCTCTCTTGCTCTCACGTTTCATAGTAACTTTGATATCGCATACATAGCATCTCTCTCTCGCTCTCACGTTTCATAGTAACTTTGATATTGCATACATAGCATCGATCGAGTGCAGCTTAAAATCCACATCCTTTGCCTGCTTCTTCAAGATATCCTTGAGGCGGCCGATTTCACAGGTAAGTGAAGATGGTATTCTTACATAGAAACATTATGCTCAGTGAAGTGACAACCTAGTGCTTCACCAGGTCCTTGTTTGCTAGTGCTTTGGTATGAAACTGATTCTACATTCTCGAGAACGATTTCGTAGCAGGGAATTGATGCTCACCACTGTAACTATATGTTAACTATATGTTAAGATATATTTGAAGATGCTTTTTTTTTTTTTGAGAAGAAACAAACATTTTATAAAAGAAAAGAGAAATACACTGAAATGGATAAGAAATCCACCATTTACAAGAAACAAGAAAAACTCTCAATAGGATTTGGCTACAGCAACAATAGCTAGACCTAACTCACTTTACCGCTGCTAACAAATCTCAATATTTGAAGATGCTGGGGGATTGGAAATGGCGGAGGTGTGGGAAAAGGTCAAGCTTTGGGAACTCTATGGACTCCTGTATTTCGTATTTATAGGATACACATCTATCGACCATTATACTACCCTAAACCCTAAACCCTAAACCCATACAGGTATTTGAAGATTGTAGGGGATTGGAAATGGCGGAGGTGTGGGAAAAAGGTCAAGTATTGAGCAACGTTTTGGGCTTTTGTATCTCTTATTTTTAGGAATATACCTCTATCGACCATTATACTAGCTTGGATGCTAAGCTGCAGTGTCTTGATGTTTTAGTTTACTTATAGATTACTTGTGCATTACTTGTTCACTTTGATGTACAGGCTTTCTTTTGAAATAAATCTTCTTTTTTCGAAAAAAATGTATAGACGTGAAAAACTTTATTGGTCACTTCTCCACAAACAGTAAAAGGAATGTTTAATGAGGTTTGTTATGCTTGTGTTGCCACAGTTGTCTGGTTGCTGGGAAAGTTGGGGGATGTAAACAGTGTCAAGTCAAATGTTGGGTTTTGTTATTCAATGTTTATTCTTTGTAACTATCTATTTTTGTGAGGAAATTTTCTCTACCCCTGGAAATTGAACTTGTGTTGTGTTCCTTATTTTCGCTTTGCAAGTACATTATCTATTTGCTTTGCTTTCATCTGCTGCTAAAAGATTGAGAATGTTGAATGGAATGAAAAGTGAATATTTTTTGCGTATAGCTTAGTCTATAACTAGCTGTGTTAGGCTAAAATAGGCGCTCTACATTCTCGTGTCAGAATATCAATCACTTTTGTGAAATTGCGGCTCTGTTGAATAGTGGATTTAATTTAGCGGGAAACATCAAAATTGGGTTTGTGTGGTTTTTTTTTTCCTTCTTTTTTTCTTGCAGTGAAAGTTGGGATACCAGAGTTTTTGAATGGCATTGGCAATGGAGTGGAATCCCATGTAACCAAGCTTGAGTCTGAGATTAGAGACTTCCAAAAGTTGCCTGTCATTCGTACTCTCAGGCTGAAGAAACTTGGCGTCCCTTGCAAACATGTAAGCAATCTCTTAGTCTAACACTCATGTAAGCAATCTCTTAGTCTAACACTCATTGTAAGGTATTAATAACTGTATTATTCAGCACCAGCTGGGCATTAACACAGTAAAGTTTCTGTTTTTATTTTTTTATCAATTCTCGTAATTTAGGAATGTATAGCTGTAGTACCTACTTAGCAGCAGTAAAGTTTCTGTCTTGCTGATTAGTGGGTGTGGAACGAAATCTGTGTCTCCCTTTCTTAAAAAAACGAATAAATTTCAAGGATTTGAAAGTTGCAAACTTGGTGTTCATTTGGTGGTGAAAATAATTTCACCACTTCACGTGGACTTGTATTTTAAAATTTGATAGCTGGATTCTTTTGCAGAGGAAGCTCATCTTGAAATACACTCACAAGTATAGGCTAGGACTCTGGAGGCCTCGAGCTCAGCCCGTCAAAGCCTAGTTAGTTTAGGAGTAGCGGAGATGGATTGTTTGCCCTCCCCTCCCCATACCCTCCTGTTTTGTGCGGTCATGGTTAAGCCACGTCAACATTTGCTTTTTGTCTTATTATTTTTATAAAAAAATTAATATAAAATATTGACGTGGCTTAAGCGTGACCGCACAAAACAGGAAGGCATGGAGAGGGTATGGAAAGGAGAGGGCAGACAATCCATCTCCTAGGAGTAGCGCGTCCTTTACACACATATTGTCTGCCGCAAAATGTGACTGTCGGACACTTGATGTACTGAGATTTGAAGAAGAGTTTTACTTGCTTGTTATAGTCGTCCGTCTCCTTTATTTAATTTATAATGAAGTTTAGTGGTTTAGTGTCTGATATACTGGATGTTCAGTTTCATAATGTACCTAGCCAGTTGAATATAACAATAATTTTTTAGCACATTTAATTACGTATTACTCTTCGCATCTCTCATTCGTGTGGAACTCGTACGTAGAATCCCATTCGTATTTGTAAGAGATGTGATCTGCCAATTTTCGATACATGTATCATGAATATCTGCATGACTGAAAATTAAGCTCCGAGTGTTCTTCAATTGAAGCGATGCAGTTGGACCATGTTTTACGATACTGAGGCAGTTGGAGCATGTCTCGGAGTATCAACGTAGCATTCAAAACTGGACATTAAAGCATAAGAACATATTGACACTCATATGTTTCGATGCCCACGCCGTTGGATTGATCGTAACGAGTCGTAACTGAAACGGTCACAACCAATCTCACAAGCTTGCAAACTTATAAATTTTCGTATCTTTAAACTCTCAAGGAAGGAGAGCCCCCAAAAACCCTACATATGGTGACAAATTCTCGATTTAAACCTTAATCCCCCTGACAAAACCCTACTAGTATAAGTACTACAAAAGCTTGTATACCAAGGGAACCAAAACAGGAAACGTCACACTTGAGCGACCAAAACACAATGTTTGATATGATAGTGTACTTGAGCTCTCAACATGACAGATTGAGAAACTAGAAATTTCATACGGTAGTAGACTTCGACCAAAAAACCGTAAAATTTGAGTTCTTATTTTCAACAATCTCCAACTTGACGAAAAATGTATTGGCCGCCACTTCAAATCGAGAAGTCGAGTTAATCAAGAAGCTCAAGAGGATAATCGCCTAAAATTAAGGTTCAGGGGAGAAATTGGCCAATTATAAAAGTTTAGGGGTGGTAATTGGTTAAAATTAAAGTTTTAGGAGGGAAGAGGGGAAATTGACAACTCCTTAGAAGTTGCGAGAAGGGGGGATCGACGGATACCTCATCATATAACAACCCCAAGAATAGAAGGCAAGTTCAAAAAAACCAAACCCTAGCTACATCTTTAAGAGCAGTTCACTCGTTTTAGGAGGGCCAGTGTGAGGGCAAGGCATGTAAATTGCCCTTGTGCAACTCCATCCGTTAGGCAAGGGTAAAAGCAAGAGCGATTACTATTCACATATATATATTTTTTTATTTCTATGCCTTGTAAGTGTGTTTAAGTGTGAACTTTGTAAGTTTTTTTTTTTTAAAATAAAATTCCCAAAAATATAACTCATACCATATTTTCCATACCACGTTTGTATCATCTCTCCAACTAAGGTAAGACTCACATGTGTTTGTGGACCCTACCTTTATTAGAAAAATAATACAAATATGGTATGAAAAATGTGGTAAGTGTATCATTACTCTGAAACTTCATGTTTAACTCCAATAATTTAATTTCTAAAACAAAGCAAATCATAGAATTACAACTAGTATGATATTAAAACAATATTATTCTGAGTAGCCTACAACTTAGGACATACAATGTGTAGTGCTAGGCATCCAGCGTATGGCACAATTTTGTATTTAAAGTATGCTTCACAACATTCCAACGTTTGTGCCTTTGTGAATGATGTATTGTTGTTATGAAGATTAAATCACATTTGTGCTTTCTATTATCTCATTGGCTAGATTATCGCCACTTTGATAAATTGCTTCTGCTTTTGTGAGGACTTCTTGTCAATGCTTCAACTCTTTATGTAGATGTTTGTGCCTACTCTACAAAGATTCCTCTATCCGGGATGTGCCTTGAATCTGCTTAACAAATTGTGCATGAATCTTCTTTCACATTTATTGCACCCTCATCTCATTTTTCGTGATCGGTTCATGAATAACACGTACCTAACTCTCAAGCAAAGCAACATCTTAATCGACCAAATTGCCTTCTCACTCGATTTGTTTTGGGTAAAAAATAGATTTGGAAAGTGGAAACAAATATAGAAATTTGTAGTAAAAATGATGTTGAGTTGTGATGTGGGGAATAAAGAAGATGGTTGGGTATTTATAGTATAATAAATATATTCTTAATTTTTTTACCATTGTATTATTCCTGGCCATTGATTTCCCAACTCATCTAAAATCTGACGCACCAACACGTGCCACGTGGCACAATGATAACTTTTTAAATTTTTTTTCTACCGTTGGAAATCCAAGAGTCTAGATCACATAATCATACGGATCGACGTGAGAGTCCAACTACATTGCAGCTAGAATCCACGTTGTACATTTGAAAGAGGTTGACCCCTTTGCTTCTCTTATGTTACAATCCTCTTCCCCCTGAGCCTCTCTTTCTCCTCAGTCCACATAGACAAAATGTAGAACTGGGGCGAACAGTTCATCAAAGAAGAAAGGACTCACTATTTGTTGGTAGTAGAGCTATTACAACGGGCCCCATGACAACAAAAATTGTTCGTCCAAGTGCCAGACTCACTTCACACGTATAATGCATGTGACAGACAAAAAATAAACGTGGCTGACGTCAGTCTTGCCTGCTTTTGCAAAACTAGATCTAACTTGCCTAGGCTTTTCGGGGGCTTCACATGACCCACAACTTTCCCTTTTAATTTGGATTTGGATCCCATTCGGATCCAAAATATGGGGATCCTAGGAATCTTCACATTTTAACCATTCATTGTGCATTGTGCGGTCAGAAGTCATTTGGTTTTTTTAATTTAAAATTAAACACACATTTAGTATCTGATGAAAACTGGCCGCACAATGTGTGATGAACGGTTAGGATGTGAGGATCCCTAGGATCTCACAAAGTGGATCCGTCAAGGATCCTTGTAACGCCCCGCCCCAAATATTTGCTTTATTTCGGGAAATAATAATATTAGTGATATGCCCAAACTAAAACTCTTGTTTAGTTTGTTACCATTTCTTCCAATTCACTTATAAATCTCCAAACACCTCACACTAATTTTTTTTTTAAATATTTAATTCCCAAAAGCATAAGGTTAAATCTCTATTTATGCATCAAATTCCTTTACTTAATTCCATTCTTCACATTACTTAGCTCAATTTCTCAAACAAGGATTTTATCTCAATTATTTAAACTACTGATTTATAGTGATTCTCTAATCACAGGCCTTGAATCCAACCATACTAAATACGTATTATTTCTTCTCATACCAAAAGTATGATTTCATTCCCAATATATCACCTTTCTCTTTCATAGATCAATTTCCATTCGAATCATGGTTAAACTTATTTTCGTGAATCAAATTTCATCACTCCAAACGATTTAATTCTTACTAAACTATCCATGCTGTTAATTACCAAAACACTCAATTAAATTATCAATTTATTTCCCCAAATTCTTCTATCAAACAACCTCTAAACAAAAGATTAATTCTCGAATATTTAAGGCTGCATCTAACGTTGTTAGACTGCCTACGTACTCTTTAGCGGGATCAAGCCTTTCGTAGTTCACAAATTCAAATTTAACCTAATTACGAAATTCAAACAAGTAACCATAAATCAACATCTATCTCCAAACAAGCGAATCACATCCAATGCTTATCAAACTTGATTTCAGAACATCAAAATTAACTTAAAAATATGGCTTTAGCTCACTGGCCACGTGCCGCCGCCGGTGGCGGTCGGCTGCCTCGAATAGTCAGAAAATATCAACTATTTTTAAAAATTACCAAATTATACATAAATGTAGATTTCAATGAGTGAAGCAACTTTCATACTTGTGACCAAGACCAATTTGGCCTGAAAAAGCCTCAATTGCCTCTAACCCGTCGAAACCCTATAATTTGGGTGTCCTCAATTCGACTCCATAACAACTCCGACGCCCCCAAACTTGTTTGGGCCTTGTTCTTGGCCTCCAAAGGAGTGTTTTGGTAGTGGAAATTTGAGGATTTTGTTTCAGGATTTGAGGGATTTACGCCATGAACCCGAAGTGCCGCCGTCGGGTTTTCACCATTTTCTCACTTAATTTCTTCTAATTTTAGGTGAAAATGGAAGAGGGAGGGTCACTAATTCAAGTTTAGGTGGTGGCGACATTCAATTCGCCTGAAAAATCACTAAAATGGAGTCGGAGAACCCCTCAATCCCTTCGGGTCGGGTTGCGGTTAGGAAGGATGTCTGATCCCCTCCTCTACTCCCTCATTTCCCTTCCTTTTTTCCTTTCCTCATTGGCCATCCCTCCTTAGATTCCTTCTCCCTTTTCTCCTTTCTATGCTTTTCTTTTTATCACAGCTGTCCATCATTTATATTTCCTTTATCACAGCCACACACGTGGCACAACTCATTGCTCCAGATTTTCCAGAGCCTTCTAAATGGAAATAAAATTACCATAATATCCCTGACTTTAAACATTAATAACTTATTCGTTATAACTCCGTTTCATGAACAGTTTGCGCCTACGCGTTCGTGAGATCGAGCTCTATTCAAATATATAAATTGTGACCTCGAAAGGTATATAGATTTTAAATAGTTAATTTCCAAACTTTAAACCTCGTAACTAGTTTAATTTAAAACTAAACTCACATAAATTATTATAATTCTCAAGAAATCATATAAAAGCTCAATAATACAAATATGTAGATTATCATAATTTCCGGAAACAAAACTTTAAAAGTTCTCGATTAAATTCTTCATAATTATAAATCGATTTATTTTCGATTTTTCCCACATATCCCTAATTATGAATATATAATTCATATATTTAAATTTTCAGGATATTACAATCCTCTTCCCTTCATTTTGGCCCGCTGAAGGTGATTGTTCGGGTTATCAATACACAGAAGTCTTAGGACTTGTTTGAAAAATGATTTTAAATGAGTGAAATCACTTTTGATAAAAATGTTTTTGAAACCAATTACTAATAAAAATGTAAGTTAATCATGAAAAAGCACTTGAAGTGCTTATTGCAACACATAACTGGTGCTTCTTGCAGAAAGCACTTGAAGTACTTTTAAACAAAAAATATTTATCTAAAAACACTTTCAGTCATTCGCAATTCCTAACGAGCTCTTAATCTATTTTATAATACTTAAGTACCCGTTCGAAAACCAGACACTGTAAAAGCTTATTCCAAAAAAGGCCATGCAATCACAGAACAACATGTTATCCTATGACGTAGCGACCAATAG